CTTAAACCAAATCATTTTTTCAAATGTTTGAATTTTTTTGTCCAATACTTTGATCCAATATTTTTAACACTCAATTCATCTTCTACATATGATAATTATCCCATTTCATTTAATACTATGTTTTCAAATGGATTCTTGGTAGGCAACCTCTCTATGTACTCCTTGATTATTTTTCTAGATGCAAAATGAAATATAGGTCTCGTTTGGATTACATCATTTACAATAACATTAATATTCTAAGTAATGATGTGGATTAGCTAAATACTTCCTCCGTCCCAAACAAAATGACACCGTTAGTGTGTTACTCCCTCCGTCCGAAAATATTCTTCACATTTGACTTTTCTTGGTCAAAGTTTGTAAACTTTGATTACGATTTGTGGAAAAAACACATTGTATTACCCGGAGTATGATATAAATTTAATATCAATATATTCAAAATGAAAAGTAGTTTTCAAATATCAATTTTTTTTATAAAATATATCTATGTATAAATATAGATATTAATGGTCAAAGCACAATATTGTAGACCGTGAAAAATCAAATGGGTAGAACATTACCGGACGGAGGGAGTACTATTTTGGTCATTTGATAATTTTTGTTTGTTTACTCGTTTTGATGGACCATTTGATGAAATAAATATTCTTGTCACATCTTGTTTTGTAAAAACTTTTAATGTACTTTGAACGGTGTAATTTTTACTTTTTATTTCTCTATTAATTTATAAATAAAATAATTTAAAAAGACAATACTTTACACATTTTTTAAAATGTTGTAAATAATTTGAGACGGATGAAGTAATTTGTTAAACTAAAAGCTACTCCATAATTGAATGGTGTTGGATTATTGGGCCGAACAACACCCAACCCAAAAATGGTCCTAAAGAACTAAATAAGGCCCAAACTGAGACCCGTGGCAAGGCCATTCACCCCAACCTACATATTTACTCTTTTGGGTGGAGTAATGACAAATAAAAAACAAAATATGATACCAGAAAAACAAAATAGTCATACTTGGATATTTCACATTTGACCAAAGATTTGATTTCAATGCCTATACAGAGATCATGATGTCTCCAAAAACATTAGGGGCAAAATATTACTCCCTCCGTCCCCAATTTGATTACAAATTGCGGGTTACGGAGTAAAATTTTTTACTTTTTGAAATCATTTTATTTACAAATTGGTATATCAATAAAATATAAAAATTATATATTAAAAAACTACGTCAAAAGTTCTACAAAACAAGAAGTGACAAGAATATTTTATTTTATCAAATACCTAATGAAATCGCGTAAACAAACAAAAGTTATCGAGAGGAGAGAGAAAAAAAATTGTAATCTATTTAGGAACGGAGGGAGTAGTTTTTATATTTAAGAATCATACAGAAATATATTACCAATTTATAAATGAGTAATAAATAATTTGAAAATAACACTTATAAATTAAGATCAACACCACATAATAACTTTTAAAGTGTTACTAAGAGGCTGTTTGGCAGTGTGTTGCTTTTAATCATTTAGCTTCTGCTTTGAGTAGAAGTGATTTTACTCTGTTTGGCGTGTCAACTTCTGCTTTTCACCACCACTATTTTGTACATAGAACACCGTTTCGGAAAAGCAGGTAGGAGGTCCTTTTGCTTTCAGCTTTTGTGAAAATCACTTTATCCATAAGTTAATCACTCCCAAACACCCTCTAAATCTATTTTCAAAAAGAAAATATCTACACACTTTACCAAATTTTTCAAATCCACACACATATTAATTCAAGTTTAATAATGGCGTGAATTTAACAAATGTTGATAAAAGTTATGGATATAGCCTTTTTGAGAATAGATTTGAGAACGAATACTGTTGCTATGATTTGAAGACTCACATGTTAAATTTGAATATCTTTACATTTTTAGTGAACCGATATTAGAATCTTTATTTGTTTTCAAATAACTCAATTCACTGATAATGTTTATATATTAAAATTCATAAAATGAGTGGAGATAAGAATTAATAAAATACATATGAAAATTTTGCTTTTTGACAACAAAAGAATTGACATGGAAACATACATAGTGGGCTTCTTCTGCACCATAACTAAAGAAAACAATTTCTTCCTTGTTATTGAATTTTTTTAGTAAGAAAGAATGCTCTCTCACTAAATAACACACACCACATGACAATACTACCCTTTTACCCCTTTATAAGTAAAAGAATGAAAAAAAAAGTGTAGAGGAGAACAAGCTGCTCATCTCCCTATTTCTTCTTCTCTAGAGAATAATTATAGAAATTCTAAGATGGAAAAAGCAAATAAATAAATAAATAAATAAAAACCCCTTAAAATGTTGATAATTAGCAGATCAGGCCTTTGGACTCAGTGACAGAGTGATGTCTTGGAAAACCTTAAGCCTCTTGTCAATCTTTCTTGTACAAGATTCAAACTTTGGCGATTTCCCTTCCAAAACCGCCGCAATTATCGCATCCTCGAAGTCCTTGCTGTCCGGCAGCACCACCGGTTCCTTTTCCGCAGCACCCACAGCGGTCTGCCTTCTCATCTTGGTCTCACAGTCTGGAATTCCGCCATTGATGGACCTCGTTCTCTTCAGAGGCTGCTGAAGCTGAGGCTGTTCTTTCGCGAATTTAGACGAAAAGAACGGCGGGGCAGAGACATTCAGCGAGTTGGAGGAGGCGTTGATGAGATTCTCATCGGGGAATGGATCTGCTGTGAACGATGGCGAGGAGGAAGACGATGACGAAGAACAGGGATGCGGTTGCCAGATCGCGGAAGAACCCAAGAAAGACTCGAACACCTGTCGCCTTTCCAGATTGTTGCCCGACCCGACAACCTTGGAGATCAGTTCGGATTCCAAGTCTTGGAGCATCTGCTGCGCCCTCTCGTAGGCCTTGAGATGCGAATCCACGCCTCTGGGCCCGCCGGACACCGCGGGCTTCACGCGCCGCAGCGTCTCCTTCGCCTCGCAAACCCGCCCCTGTTTCATCAGACAGATGCCGAGGTTGCACATCTTGTTGTTGTCTGCTGCTATGGTCAGCGCCTTTCTGTATGCGTCTTCTGCTTCCACGTAGTTGTTTCTCTGCATCAACGCCCAACCCAGATTCCCCTGCCAAAAAAATCCATTCTTTTCTTTAAAAAAGGGTTCTTTTCTGGTAAATTCTTTAGAAAAATGGCAGATTTTGAATGGTATTATTTGAAATCCCTTATTACCAGAAGTCTGGTAGCTTCTTGATCCACTGAAACCTGAAACTTCTTCCCTTGGGATCTGGCCGTCTTCGTTCGCCTGCCATTAAAGGCCAACCCTTGTTGGATCAAGAACAGTTTGTGCCTCAGGAGTGCGATCTGATCATCCAATCTCCCGCATCTCTGCAAATTCCAGGAGAATTAAGAATTGGTGTGGGATTCAGATTTAAAAAAAAGTGATCTTTTCCATGAATAAAAAACAAATCAAGTAGAACCTTGTAGAGATCTAACAAGATGTTGTCAAGAGCCTCTTGTGCTTGATCAGAACACCGATTCCTCAGAGACTTAATGGCTTCAATCGCTTCTTCCGCCCTGTTCTGTTGCTTCATCACAATCGCCATATCCTTCAGAGCACTGTCCACTCTGTCCCCGGCATTGATGGCTGCCCAGAACAGGGGAATCGCCTTCTCCGGATCCTTCTCAACAAGCTTCAATTCAAACCCAACACAAAAACAAGTCAAAACCCAGACAAAATTCGGGAAAACTCACCCGGTTCAAGAAACATCACTTACTTGGACGTTCTTCGCTCGGACGTAAGGGGAGTCGCCGACCGGGATTTTGTACGCGGCGTGGAAGGATTGGGTTCTGGGGATGGGCGGCGGCTTTGCCGGTGAAACAGGGGCGGATTTGGTGGGCCTGAAACCCGGCGGTCCATTCCACATCTCCTGCAACATCTTTGAACTTTTCTCAAGAAGACGAACTCGAAATCTGATGTGGAGATTTGTGACTGTGGAATGAAACGATCGGAGAAGGATGAAATGGCAGTGAAGGAGGAGAAGAAGAAGGGGTGCAATTTAGGGAAGGGGTTTTTGGATTTTTCGACCGTTGGAAAATAGCCGTTGTGTGGAGTAATACGGCCACCCGTTGGGTCTTTTTTTTCCCTTTGTGTCGTTTTATTAATGTTTTCTTGCCAAATCAAGAAAATTATATTAAGGGGGTTCCGTTTACCATGTTTATCTAATCATAATCCCCCTTTTTTGGACTCGATCGATTTTAATTTTGATTTTTTACTGTTTGGACTCTAAATAGATTAAAAGTAAAATTAACTCTAAAAATAAGTAAAATTAGATGAACAATTTAAAGTTTGAAATTATATGCATTCAACTTTTTATTATCCTTCATTCTCTAAAGATTTTTTTTGTATTTTTTTTATCGGTTCTAAAATAATTTTTTTCTAGAAATCAATGTGAATAGGACCAAAACATAGAAAAAAGTATTAAATAAGATTTTCATATTTTTTTCCTGAAATAAGACTTTACATTGTGGTAATGTGGTGGTAATGTGGCACTTACATGTGCACATTACTATACCTTTTGATAATGTACATGACCATGTTTAGTAATATAAATGCATTTTAAGTACTATTTCGAGAATATAAACATGAAAGTCCTATTTTGGTATATTTTCAATGTTTTAGTCTTATCTTAGTCTTGCTTCCTTTTTTTCAAAATTGGAATGAAATAATCTTTTTCATTTTCTCTTTCTAACTGGGTTATTGTTTGAACAAAATGTATGACCCAATATATTTCTCTCATTTTAAAATAAATTATAACATACGAGTATTATTTTGCACTTTTAACATTTTTCTTAAATTTTGTAAAGTTAAAATAATTTTATTTGCTACGGAGTAATAACTTGTTAGTATGCTAGTTATTAGAACATCTCCAACAATATTGGTTAAACATGGCTTGCCAAAGTCATTTTTAACATGTGAATAGTGGTTTAACAAACTATTACTCTTTCTATACCAATTTAAATTGCATGTTTTTGTTTACCATATTTGATTTAAGTTATTTTAAATTTAATTTATTAGATAAGTAGAGTGGCATTAAAATTATAAACTATTCATATTATAAAACTAAATCAAAAGTTCTACAATATAAGATGTGGCCTGACTGTCTTTTTTATTATTATTATATATCTACTTGAGAACTTTCCTAATTTTGTTTAATTGTACTATAATGCAATACAAATTGAGAGTAATAGAAGTTTAAAGTTTGTCAAGTTTGACTTGGAAAAGTCAAATTAGACAAATATACTGGGATACATGTAGCAATAATAAAATACATCTTTTTAATTATTTTATAAATATCAATTAAAGAGTAGATAAAAAACTTAATAAGAAGTAAAAAAATTAGAGAGTAGAAATAGTAAAATATTTTGAGAAGAACGAGAATGAAGTAATACTCCCTCCGTCCTATAATGTTCTTCCCGATTCATTTTACGAGGTTTGACCAATTTTATTTTCAATTCAATTTATTTGATTGTAGGTGTAAAATTAAAAAATAAAATTTATATATTTAAAAACTACACCAAAAGTTCTACAAAACAAGTGGTGACAAGACTATATTATTTTATCAAATACCTAATGAAAATAGGTAAAGAAAGTGATTAAAGTTTGACCGGATAAAAAGTGAGTGGGAATAACATTTTAGGACGGAGGGAGTATTTTATTAAAAAGTTCTTAAAATGTAGAGTTGTTCTATTCCAATTCTTTTCACTCTATGTTTGTTCAGCACTTTTAACTTGAAATAAATTGTATGTGATAAAACTACTTAAACACATCTTTATTACAATTTATTTCAAAATAAATGTTGAACAATTACTTAGACAGTAAAAAAGGTTACTTTTTCTCCTAATTCACTCTTAAATTATGTTTTATTTAAGAAATTTGAAGGAAGAATGAAATAAAAATCATATTCCGTTTTAATTTTGATTTTTTTTATCAAATTGTGATACTCAGTGACTATAATAATAATAAAAATTATTGAATAAGAATACTCATTAAATATAATTGGGTCAATCTTAGGATATAGTTATATTATATCAAATTTTTTATAATATTTATTTATTGAAATTATATTTAATTCTTGATAAAATGGTATACTTTGAAAAAAAAGTCAAAACTGGAACCTAGCTTTTTACTTTGATAGAAGTATAGAAAATATTTTTCTTGTTTGATTAAAAAGGAAAAAAGCTGGAAGGAATAAAAACAAAAATACATTAATTACGAAGAAGAGAAAAAACACAAATTTTTATTTTAACAAGGAAAAAAGAGAAACATTTTCTTTCCTTCTCAATTCTTTGATCCGAATATAATGATATAAGCAATTTATTCGGTGGTCCTTAAGTTCGTGCTCATTTATGAAACTTAGTACACAAAATAATTATGTGCATTGAGCCTTGTAAAAAGGAAGTAATTTAATTATATGTTTATGAAAAATATAAGGCAAAATACCAAAATATGATTAAAAATAAACAAATTATAAAAATAAAAGTTTGATATTTGTATTCTCAAAATAGAAATTACTATGTCAATAATGTCAACACATTATACAAAAAATATTATGAAATATACCAATATACAGTGTCACAGTGTTATAATACAAACTCTTATTTCAGGATAAATATATAAAACTTTTGTTTTGGAGATAAAAGTTATGTATTACTCTTATTTAGATTGATTTTTTAAAAAGTATGAGATAGTCTACTTTGACTTAACAAATAACACATGCATATTCAGTCAATGTTAATAGTGATATTAACTTACTTACTTTACCCTCAAAATAAAAGTGATTGAATTGAGCTAAAGAAAAGTGCAAAAATTGTTGAAAGTATGGAAGAAGTGAGAATAAGACAGAGAATGTAAATATTTATTGAAAACTCGATTTAAAATATGAGAGAATATATACTCGAATAATCGTATGTCAAATACTCAAATTATAAAACCTGATTAAGCGATTTCATTTACGTGCTGTGTTTTTGTGTTTTAGGGTTTTAATGTCACAATTTGACTTTTTTAGTCAAATTGAGACACCCTTTGACTGCAAATTATAAAAAAAAAATATCAAGTTTAGATATAAATGTAGTAAAAATGGGTTTATTTTAAAATATTATTTTGAAATATCAAATTTTTTATAATATTTAATTATTTTAAATTATATTTAATTCGTGATCAAAAGTGGTCACATGACCAAAAAAGTAAAAGTGTATCAATCTTTTATATGGACGAGTAATTCTCCCGCGTTTCCATTATGCATGTATTTATACACCACATTCAGCCTTCCAAGTTTCTCAGCTATCATCTCTTCTCATTTCTCAATATATACATAGTAAGTAAACCTAATTAACAATTTACCTTAATACTATTTCCCCTAGCTAGCTACTTAGGTCCTGGCCATGGCTGCCCCCGATCACCAAAAGATTCATCCCGTCCACGTGGAACTGGAAAACACCCCAAAACCTACGGCCCCGCTGGTGCCCCCGGGCAGTTTCCGGTCGGAGAAAGGCGACCCCGAGAGGCAGCACGTAGTTCCCACGCAGCCTCCATATCCACAACCATCGCCACCAGCGGCCGCCACCAGAAAGAGGAGAAGTTGTTGCAGAAGATGCCTGTGCTGGACATGTTGCTCCCTCCTCCTCGCCGTCCTCGCCGTGGCCGCATCCGCCGCCGTCTTGTTCCTCGTTTTCCGGCCAAAGGTCCCGAAGTACTCCGTCGACAGCCTGACAATCTCCCAGCTCAGCCTCAGCCCCGACAACAACACCCTCTCCGCCGCCTTCCGCGTCAGCATCACCGCCAGAAACCCCAACAAGAAGATCGGGATATACTACCGTGGCGGAAGCCGCCTGAGGGTTGCCTACGCGGGAACGGACCTCTGCGAAGGGCCGTTCCCGGAGTTCTACCAGGGACACCGCAACACGACTGTGGTCAACGTCGCGTTGACCGGTCAAACGACAGACGCCTCTAGGTTGCTCCGGTCCATGCAGACGCAGCAACAGACGGAGGGGATCGTCCCGTTGGATCTGAGGGCGAAAGTTCCGGTGAGGGTTAAAATTGGGAAGTTGAAAATGATGAAATGGAAGTTCTTGGTGAAGTGTAGGGTGGGTGTGGATAGTTTGAGTCAGGTCAACGTTATTAGGGTTAGGAGTAGTAAGTGCAAGTTTAGGTTTAGACTTTAAGACTTGTTTTGGTATATGTTGTTTAGGTTTAGACTTTAAGACTTGTTTTGGTATATGTTGTTTTTTATTTGTGAGTATTTTTTTTGGTACATTTGTTTTTGTATAATAATGGTACGTCTACACGTCATCTGATCGGTGTATTTACTACTCTGGACTTTGTATATACGAGTATTTTTTATAGGAATATATAATCCATAATATTTTATTCCCTGTCTTTCAATTTAAATTGCATATTATATTGTTTACGAGTTTTTATTGAAGTGATTCATTTGGATTCAATTTATTTAAAAATTTATATGGAATTCAAAAACAAAGATCAAAATATAATATTTAAAAATTCATTGGTCAAACAATGACACTCTTGACCATAGATTAAACATGATCAACAAATGATATAAAAATTTGATATATCAAAACTATATCATATGATAAATCCAATTATATTGAATTTATATTATAATTAATTATACTTTTCTCATAATTTGTGGTCACAAATGTCATAGTTTAACATAAAAAAGTCAAAATAAAAATGATTTTTAAGGCCAGAGGGAATATTTATTTGATGGTTTTCTTTTACGTCATTTTCATTTAAATTTATTTTAAAAAATAAAAAAATTGGGCTTCATGGGCATGACTCACACCATTGTGGTGCGGTGGCGTGATGAATTGTGATAGAAAAAAAGTAGAAAGACCAAAGTAGGATTAAAATATTGAAAATATATTAAAATATGATTTTCATATTTTCATGTTTTTATTTTGAAAATAAGACTTAAAACGCACTTACATTACTAAACATGGTCATCTATTTTACCAAAAAAAATATAGTAATGTGTACATGTACAATGTCATATTACCACAGTACAAAGTCATATTTCAAAAAAAATACATAAAAATCTTATTTTGATATCTATACTTTTCTCCATGTCCTAAAGTCTAAAAAGAAAAACTCACATAATCCATTCAATCCTTACCCAATCCATTCATTGCACCGCTACTTCGCTCCTCTTCATCTCCACGTCGCTCCTCTGAGTCCTCTCTATACATCTCTACGCCTCAAGGCCAATCCTCCTCGTTCATCCCCCATCTCATATAATCCAATCGACCTAATACTTCGTCTTCGTTAATCCTGGATCTTCACACCACCATCAACCTGCAGATGTTTTTATGGTGCATTTCCTTTAACTTTTTTAATCGTCTCTGTTTCTATATTTTATTTCTAGGATAAGTATAACCTTCCAGAGGATCTACTTGATAATCATTCATGAATGCTGTGTGATGCTAGATCGAAGGATGTATATGCATGAGTGCTCTGTACTTTTTTTTAGCGTTTAGCCGTTTACTGTATTGATTTTACTCCATTTTCATCTGCCTTTTCTTTTTTAAATAAATTTGATGTTTAGAATAATCGTTTCTTTTTACTGTACTCTTCAAAACTTTAAATTGTTTATCAAATTTAAAACATTATTCCCTGCTGATTTATGTTTTTTTAAATAGTGACTTGTTAACTTTGAAGAACAAAAATCGAATTATATTTTTATAACTACCCATGTTATATTATATATAAAATTGAATGATTTTTTTAAAATCGGTTCCGCTGAGTGTAAAAAAAACAGCTCTTAAAATTCAACTATTTTACTTCAGTTTTTTTAATTGCATACATTTCACCCTCCTTAAGCAATGGCTTATACTTTGCAACGAATTTCCTTGGAATGATTGTAGTAATTCTCTTTCCCTAAAAAAATAGTCATAATGATACATTGTATCCTTAAATAATATTTTCGCTAAACCACTAACGAAAAAAGGGGAGTATATACTTCATGATCATTGAAAATAGACTCGATGGCATACATACTGCCATTGTTTCTCTTGGATTGCAAATCATAGGAATGGGATATGCCGTATTTTTAAATGAGCAAGGTGTTGGGAAGTGTCAGTATCTCTTAAAGAGTGACCAAAAGGGAGGCATTTGATACTTGATGGATGCAAATGGTATTGAACAGCAGGGGAATTGAGGTGTGGTTGGAAAGGCAAGAATGAATCCTTTTATAGGAGTTTTCTTAGAGATAAAATTGAACGAATTTCACTTATTCTTTATTCAATTTTTACGCAATCATATTCAATCTCATGCAATTAGATTTAGAACAAACACTATTCCAGTTTACTCTATCTGTTTGTATCTTCTTTGATGTAATAAAGATAATACTAGATAGTTAGTACACCAAAATTTGGCTGCATAATGTGCATGATCATATGCGGTTGTGGATAATCGTAGAAGCCAGAGATATGCTGCGGTCAGAGAAAGAGAATTAGATAATGGCTTCTCAACTATCGTTTCCTGTGCCCTCAGTTCACAGGAGATTCTACTCTCACTCTACTCATTATTCATCTTTGAGGAATTGTGAGCATTTCTGTCTTTTATTGATTTTGCATTATGTAAGCACCCATTTGATTGATTTTTTTTAATCATGATTTTTAACTATTGTGTTTGGCTAAATACCTGATGAAATTTGGTTAATGGGTTTCTTTATTTCGTTGGCAGCCAACCAGAGATCAGTGAAATGCAGCGTGGATAAGGAGTTTTCAGCCCAACACATCAGCGAAAAGGTTATGATTTAGTACTTTGAATTTGTGGTTATAAGGTTGGGAAGGAATATGGACATTGACTCTATATTATGGCCAAAGAAAAGGTGAAAACGAAGGTGTAGGAAAACACAATACACAAAAGTCAAAGCAGATATTTTGTGATGGTTTTTCTATTATTTTGGGATGGGATTTCGGTTGATGGTTTATGGATATAAGGTCAATATTTTAGCGATAAATATGGTTTTCGGCCAAAAGAGGAGTAAAAGGTAGCACACATTGTTTCACTTTTGAGATAAAATGAAGTAAGGTAAAGTTTTAGCTTGCATTTCTTGTTCAAGTTTTGGTCATATTAAACAAATATGAGGGGAATGACTTTGACATTAATAAGGAAGACTTTGGGTGGTTTTTAATGGGATATTTTGGCTATAGGCTGAGAAACACAAAAGAAATCACATCATCATTGAATGTGAAGGAAAGTAAGAAAATCTATAGCATTTGTCTAATTTTCCTTCCAAATTTTGGCTATGGCTTACTTTGAGTAGGAAAAGAGTTTATTTTGGTCTTAAAGGTAATTTTTTTGGATGTTTTGGGAGGATGGACATGGACGGCTAAGGGTAAATAAATTCAACCCAAAAAAGATCAGAACACTTGAACATTAATCCCTGGACTATCTTATTCACTTGTGGAGTAAGAATGGTGTCCGTTGGTGCACCCCGGGGTATATTACAGTGCTTAGCCTAGTTATATGTGGAAAAAGAGAAAATAATATATTGTTATTGTCATTAATGGTTGCTGTGTCAAACTTAAATGAGCCTCTGAGTATTTTGACATAAATGTTACTCCGTAGAATATAAAAATCTTTTCTTTGGCCTACAACCAAAAGCTTGCGCTTTTGGTTGAGCTGGTTCCTTGACACAGTTGTAGAGCCTTGTTGACTAAGTGGTCACAAATCCAAAACTCATCGCCGCAAAGTTTTAAAAAATTAACACATAAAAGGCTCGAAGCCTTTCTCGGGCCTACAACCACAAGCTTCAACTTTGGTTGAGTTGGTTCCTTGACATGAAAGACGAGTACTGGTTTGATCTAATTATTTTGTTTTTTTTATATTTCGTTTTGGGAGAACAGGAGTTTCAAAAGTTAATTTCACGGCGTGTGTGCGTGACGTGCATCTGTTCAACAATAGCCTTGATGAGTGGAGATGCCAACCCTTTATTTCAGCCAAGAGCAATTGCTGCAGGTGATAAAGCACAAGCAGTGTGCCCGAACTGTGGGGGTGGCGGTGCAATCATTTGTAAGTACACAGTCTGGGTTAGTTTCTATTAAACAAAGTTAGTTTTACTCTGCAAGTTGGGGGCTTACTTTTGTTCAGGTGATATGTGCGGTGGGACGGGGAAATGGAAAGCTTTGAACAGAAAGAGAGCCCAAGATTTGTATGAATTCACTGAATGTCCAAATTGTTATGGTATGCTGTATTCATATTCAGTACTCACGCATTTCAAGATGTGTTTGTTGCATTTCTCATTCATCAAATAAAACGATTTTTACTTCTCCTGACCATCTCTGCATAACTCAACCCTTATCACAATTGAGGTGATCTTCTTTGTGTGTATTTGGGTGGCAGGACGTGGGAAACTTGTCTGCCCCGTGTGTTTAGGAACTGGTCTGCCAAACAACAAAGGTCTTCTTAGGCGGCGGGATGCACAGGATTTGCTCGACAAGATGTATAACGGTCGCCTTTTACCCAAGTCTTAGGTGGGTGTGATTTGTTTCATGATATTTATCTGTTCTGCGTGAAACCTTCATTGATGTTTTTCTTTTGATTCGGGACAGTTGCATTTTCGTGACAAGATGGGACAATTCAAGGTGATCAACTTTGCCATGTTTCGTGTTTTTTGGGGGAATAAAATGCCCCCATATTACATCCACAGCACATTTGTGCTAGGATCTGGCGATCAGGCAAAACATGTAGTTGTTCTCTTTCTCTGCTACTCTATCTGCGAGGGCCTAGGGCCACTTCTGTAAATAATTACACTAAATGATTTCTTTAAACTAAATGCATTTCAAAATAGGCAAATTATATTGGCCCATTAAGGACCTACATATGGGCAAAATACATATTACTACATAAATAAGCATTTATTTTTTTAATAAAAAAGATTTATTGTGTAAGAATGTTTATAAAAATGGTATGCACTCGAGGTGTACCAGAGAAGCATTCTTCAAAATAAGGTTTTTTATTTTTTGTTTATTATTTGGTTTTTTCTTTTTTAACTCTTTATTTCCTTTTCCTAAAAAAGTTTTTTTAATTTGTTTCTAATTTTTTTATAATCTTTTAAAAAAATCAAATTTCTTTGTGTTTGAAATAAAAATAAAAATAAAGAAATTAACATATCCTCCATCTATCCTAAATCAAACAATTTTCACTTTTTGTTTTCTAGAATAATTTTTTCGGTAAGTTAAAAAAGAAAGCCCCTTATAAAAAAAATAAAAATAAGAATATGGAAAAACAAAATGAAAAAAATTAAACATGCAAAAAAGTGTCTTATGCAAGAAGGAATTTTCAAAACGCCTAAAAAAATCCTGAGAATTGGGATGTCCAAAAAAGGTATTCATTTCTATTTTTTTAATTATTTTATTTCTTATTCTATTCTTCATTTTTCAAATTCTTAAAATAAATTTTACTTAAAACAAAAAATAAATAGTTTTTAAATGTATAATTTTTCTTAACTTTACATTTACAATCAAATAAATTAAATTGAAAATAAAATTAATCAAACCTCAAATTTTGCATAAATTAACATTTGATGGATATAGATATAAAATGAAAATAAAAAAATATTCAAAATTAACATTCTCTTGCTAAAACCAAATCCCTTCTCCACTCAACCAACGCCCATTCAACTTTTATCTCTGCCCCGTTTTGCATCAGCGTCAGAGATTAGCGTCAGAGATTAGCGTTAACGTTTTGAAAAAATTATCTAACGGTAGCATTTAGCGTTAGCATTTTCAGAATTAATCTTCACCATAAAAATTTTATCCAAAACTCTAACTTTAACAAACTAGGGAGTACCAAAGAAAGCCCTCAGCCCCTCATTACCCGACTTTCTTTCTGGACATAATCTGACTACTTTCTCAGCGTCAAAACTCTACAGAATGTTCTTTCACTGGGTGGAGCTAAGAACTAACGGCTGAAAACAGAAAACAGTCGGGGGATGGCATTGATTTCCTTAGCCCCTCCTTCAACCTGTCACCTTTCTTTCTCTGCATCTATTCATGGCAGAAAAGCGCCTTCTTTGGCTGACCCTTTGCTCTACAACCGTTATCTTACTCAAAGACGAAATCTTTCTTCATGTGCCCGCAACAAGTTCCGAAGTTGCGTCGAACCCAATAGGAAGGGTTTCAATTTGGGAGAGAATTCACAATCATCTGTGGCAGAAGTTGACGCAGATCCTGAAAAGTTCGAGCTCAAGAGCCAAGATTTGAACAGGGCGAAAGCGGATTTGTTAAGTGAAATATGGGAATGGGCGTTGCTGGTGTCGCCCTTCTTCTTCTGGGGCACGGCTATGGTGGCAATGAAGGAAGTTCTGCCCAAGACTGGGCCTTTTTTCGTGTCTGCATTCCGATTGATTCCTGCAGGTTTTCTCTTGGTGGGCTTTGCTGCTTCCCGGGGCCGGAAATTCCCTTCCGGGCTCAATGCTTGGCTTTCTATCACGCTATTTGCACTAATTGATGCTGCCTGCTTTCAGGTTTCCATGCTTGTTTGTTTGATATTCGAGCATATGGATAAATTTGAGGGAATTGAGGGTAATCGAGTAACTAACGGTCTTTTTGGATGGCGGACAGGGTTTTCTTGCTGAGGGGTTGGAGAAGACATCAGCTGGTTTAGGCAGTGTAGGTTGAAATTCTTGAGTGAACGATTCATCTTTTTGTATGTTGAGTTTCTTGATCACTTAATTCAAGAATTAGCAGGGTGTTAAAAAGATGTATCTTTTGGTAGTGTGCATTTCTTCCCTACTTGTCGCTAGACAAACTCATTTTAACATGCTCCATGTATGCACATGACTTGCTGTATCTTTGAGAGTTGAATATTCCACAGGAGATCTCACTGTGTTTTTGTTTCCTGAAACGGTAAAGCAATTGCTTAGGTGTCCCGTAAGCTACACAGGACTTGATACCGTTTACAAACTGATTGTTTCAGGTAATTATCGATTCACAGCCTCTGACAGTTGCTATTCTAGCATCACTGTTATTTGGTGAGTCTATTGGGTACGTCGGAGCTGCAGGACTTGTACTTGGAGTAGTAGGTCTTTTGCTTCTTGAGGTAAATGCTATAGTTCATTCATGATATGTTTTATTCTTGATGCCTTTCTTGGTCCTTGCTAAAATAAAAAAAAAGATAACCGAACAAGCATATATACATTTTTTATTACTCCGTATGATATTTGCACAGGTGCCTGCATTGACAATTGATGAGAAAAACTTTTCACTTTGGGGAAGTGGGGAGTGGTGGATGCTTCTTGCTGCACAAAGCATGGCAGTTGGTACAGTTATGGTCCGTTGGGTTTCCAAGTACTCTGATCCTGTCATGGCTACCGGATGGGTATAGTTCCATTTTCATCATCATATAATGTATTGTTTAAATGGCACTCTTCCCCTTTGTACTAATCATTTCTCAAATTTGTAGCTCAACGTAGGGCTTGTTTGGTAAGGTTATTCGGAGAAATGGTCAAATATGCTAAATTTTCTTAAAGGAAAATCGTTCGGTATATTTTTATTTATTTGTTTGAAATATCATCAATGCATGCAGCACATGGTTATTGGTGGCCTCCCGCTGATTATTATCTCCATGCTTAATCACGACCCTGCCCTTCATGGTAGTTTGGAGGAGCTTACTTCCATTGATGTATTGGCATTGGTCTATACATCAGTTTTTGGTAGTGCATTGAGCTATGGTGTTTACTTCTATAATGCAACATCAGGTCAGTTTAGATTTATTTAAAAATGAGCAATACAGTACCAAACGGCTAGAAATAGCATTCTTGTGACTCCAGAAGCCATTAAATATCTCTTTTGTCATTAATTTTTTACTCTCATTCATCACTTAATATTATAAAATTGTCATTTATAGCCCGAATGGGTTCTAGAATTTGTGTTTTTTTTTTACTTCAGCTTTGGCTCCTATTTCAACACATTGCAGGCAGCCTTACAAAGCTCAGCTCGCTTACCTTTTTGACTCCTGTCTTTGCTTCAATATTTGGGTAAGACATCCAAAGTCCACTCTTTGGATTTATGAAACATTTTGATCTTGAAACAATATTTTTGCCATACATTCATCAACTACACCTCTATCTAATATCAGGTTCATATATCTTGGTGAGACATTCACACCTATTCAGTTGATTGGCGCACTGGTAACACTGGCAGCAATTTACATGGTTAACTATAAGAGTGGTGATGCATAAAATGTTACCATCTAGACAGATATCCATTCACCCACAGATGTTTGAACAGATGTATTAATCTATAGTAATCCATTTAGCATAGAGCAGCAAAGCAGTTCCCTTTTTTTGTACATGCATGTTCAAAGTAATGTTTCCTTAAACATGATGGAATGTAATAAAAAAACACTAGGTATACTTTTAGGGCAAAGTTGCATTTCATGTGCTTTTGATTAAATCACATTCTGGTTACCAATTGTTGCCTAATTACTGATTGATTCATTCAACATTTAAAAATACATTACTGAAACTGATGTGTTCGTTGATTTCCAGTTATACAGAATCATAACTTGTTCTAGCTAAACGAAATCTTTTTAGGAGCAACCGGAGCTGCAAGCAAGCTTTTGCAAACGCACAAACACAACAAATGCATTCATAGATCAAACAGCACATCTGAAACCTTTTGCTATCCTCAACTTGATGCAGTAGTTACAGCTGCAGCTGCCATGGATGTATTGTGGGTACCACCTCCAATTTGCTGATTCTTCTTTGCAGCCAATCTCCTCTTACCTTCACCCATAATATCATGGCTTGGCTCGGAAACAGCACGTCTTTGAAAGCCGAGTCCTAGTGGGACCCGGTTATCATCCCTGCTGTAAGACCTTGAAGTTGAGTCGCTTGAGTTCGGTTCCCACGAGGATGAAGAAGAAGAAAGCCAATAAGGAGGCTGACTACCCCCAACAAAGCTGTTGCTTCCAGAGGATTCTTGATCTTCTCCATCGCCACCCTCTTCTTCTTCTTCAACATTTCCCCTCCTCAAGGTCACATACTTGTGAATGCTTGGCTCCATCAAGTCATCACCGCCCACAACAACCACCTCAGACTCCACAAATGGATCTTTCACCCCTAAACTCTTCTTCTTAACAAACTGCTCAGATGCGAAGTTCTTTCTTCTGTCCTCCGAGAAAGCATTAGTAGTGCTGGAGTTAAGGTCAGCCACTGCGTCAAGGATTGAGCAGGCCTTGGTGACGCAAGCTGGGAGGCTAAAAGCCGAGGTAGTGTTTGGGGTATTCTTTTGGTGAAAGTTTTGGATATCTTCAAGCAACAACGCAGTATAGTTTTGATTGGAGTTTGAGTTTGATAATAGAGATTCGGGGTTAATGTCTAAATCGCGAGATAATCTAGAGGATCTGCATCTTGTTACTGTCTTGATGTTTTCTGGTCCTGCTGGGGCAATCACATTAACTGCAGCACCATTCCCACCAACCACTTTGTGTTCCTCCTCCATTATCAGCTGCTCCTCCTCGTCCTTACCTTTGTTGTTAGAGATAAACTTGTTACTGCTAGCCCCTTGCAACGCCACCTTGACGCCGCTGATATTATCTCCGTTGATCTTCTGCACCTGAATATAACCAAGAAAATACACTTCAAATTCAGCCTTGAACTACAAAAAGGCAAAGAAAACTAAGACAGCAATTTAAACAAGCATTCCCACTCCATTAGACTTCATTTTATGCCAAATACCCAAAAAAACATCGGATGGATCATGTGTGCACACTTTAAACACTAATGCCAGTTCCAGTGCAAAAAAACGCATTTTTAACCCACTAAATTAAGCCTAAATAATATCAAAAGTTAAATTTGTAATTTTTTGTTTTTGTTTTGGTTTTAACTAGTTTATTCATGTCCAATGCTCATCATGTAATTATTAAATTTGTAATTTTTTTGGGTTTGGTTTTAACTATGGAGTAGTTTTTTACATGTCCAAGGCTCATCAGTTTGAACCTAAAGCCCTAAAGGAAACACCTGAAGTTGATGGCCAGTTGGTCATTTTTAGATATTTGGCCTCTACTTATAAGAGAATATCCAATGTACATCAATGGTATAAAAATCACATCAAGCAGTAATAGTGTCAAGCAACTGCACTGGAAAAAGAGTACCTGAGAAGTATGGGTTTTGGCAGGCTTATTAGTTGCTGACGGTTCAATGACAACATTAGTATCAATCTCACCCAGAGGGTTTCTTCTGTAAGGAGACTGTTCTGCTTTCCTAGAATTGTTTCTGCTCAGGGAGGGAGGCTGCTGGTTCTGCGCAGGGGAACGAGCACGCGGAGACGCCGCCACCACAACCACCGGGGCGGAGGCATTTCTAGAACCATCACAGCCGCTGCCACCCACATTCCTCTTCACTTGAATCCTCTTCACAGCCAAGATGTTCTCACCATCAATGCTCTTGTCCATTGCCACAGTTGCAGGCACATGAACCATCTTTCCTGGCCTGTTACCATTCCCAGAAGTAACTGTGTTTGGTGATTCAGACCTTTTGCCAGGAGACCTACTCACCCTCCTCCCATTACTCCCACTTCTCTCTCTGCTTCCGGACCTCTGCTGCTGTGCCCCCTGCTCCCTTTCCCTGCTCTGCGTCCTCCTCCGGCTCCGGGAAGACGAAGGGCTAAGGCTACTCCTCGGCTGGCGGTGTCTCTGGCGGTGGAGTCTCTCCGTTTCCCCTCCTCCGGCCTCCACATCCTCCTCCCTGCTTCCATTTTCCTTGTCAAAATCGAAACTTCTCTTCGACACAGAGTATTTCTTGGTCATCTGTAGACTCCCAATGTTGTTTTCAGATGAAGATCCAACGGACCCAGAAATGGAAGCTGCAGTCTTTCCTCTGGAAGGGCTCCTACTGAGCCTCCCGCATTGAATCAATATGGCATCAACCTCTTCCTTCGTGCAGCTCGAAGTCCTCACCGGAGCCGATACCACATTCAACCCACTGCTAATTGATGGATTCTTGACCGCCGGCTCGGAAACCTCGCTGTTGTTCGCCTCCTTCTTGGAATCGTCTTTTCCGTCCACAGACCGCCTCTCGATCTCGTGGCTCCTCCGGTGCTTGATGAAGAAAATCTCCTTCTTCACCGCCCCTTCTTCTGGCTTCTTCGTCTCGAGATCTGGGGATTTGGTTTCTTGCCTGGAGTGAATTGCAGACTGTGTGGCGGGACGAGGGGGAGCTGAAGCTATGCTCTTCTTCTTGCTCATACAAATTCCCATCTTTTTCTTTCAAGAATTGAGAAATTGGAAGATTTGCAAGGAAGAAAGAAGTGATAATTGAGAAGAAAAGGGCGGTTCAGAATTCAAGAAAACCAGAGATTTTGAAATACGGAGTATAGAGAGAGAGAGAATTTCAAATGTTTGACTGAGAAGCGGGCAGGGCCACCTGGTAATAGAGCCGTTACGGTGGGTTCTTTTTTGTTCTTTGACAGGAAAAATGTAATAATGTTGTCAGCAGCTACCTAATCAATACAAAGTTTTTACTTCATTGTTCATCCAACTCAAACTTATACTCGGAATCTTATTTTGAATTTTATCGACAAATTTTGAAAAAAATATAATCCGTACTCCGTATTATTTATAATTTAAATGTTATTACTAATTAGGTTTATTTGAAAATATTGAAAAAAATATACTCCCTGCCTTTGTCAAAACTGCACAACGCCCATACAACTACTTAAGAGAAGGTAAATAAATATAATTTCACACTGAACAACATGTAGTGAGATTTGTCTCTAGATCGATCTTATACTACGTACAAAGTACCCCGCCGTCTAGAAATACTATTTAAATTTAACTTTTTACGGTCTCCAATAAGATATTTTGATTACTAATATATACATTCAAATATGGACATATTTTATAGAAAAAATATTTCATAAAAAAACTATTAATATTATATTTATATCAAAATAATTTATTTTAAAAATAATCGAAGATCATTTTTGGACGGAAGGTCGTTCTTTTGTACTCCTAGAGACAAATACGCCCCGTTTGGTTGGATAACATTTTGGGGAGTAAAACATTTTGATGCTCCGTATTTGGTTTGAATAATTTGGGAGTGCAGCATTACGTAGAGCTTAACATTACAATCTTTACTCCGTATAGATTGTGGAAAATGTAACATGATTGGAGGTACGTGAAGAGGCACGTGCATTACTATTTTAATTTAAAATCTAAATCTAGATTTAGATTTCGAAGTGAACTTCTCTATTTTAGAACAATTCCGAAGCATAAATTTCTTTACACAGAGTACTTTTTTTGCATTTGAAATTTAAAAATTTAAATTTTTTTAGAAATGAGATGTTATATTTATTGGTTCCCAAAAAATTACATCTAAAAGAAATCTATTTTTCCTTCATAAATTATCCTAATATCATACTCCCTCCGTCCCGGAGTATTCGTTCAGTTTTGACTTTTGAAACTGTTCATCTAAGCACTTTGACTCATCAAATTCTCTCAATGTGTAAGCCTCTAAATATAGTCATGTGTGATCTTGTTTGATTTGTCTTAACATATAGATTATTAATATATAATTTCTATAATTTTTTAATATACAAATTACAAGATAAAATGGATTAAAGAAGTGTATTGGATGGTGTGTAAAAATGAAAGTGGACAAATACTCTGGGACGGAGGTAGTATATCATATACGGAGTATCTATATCATATACTCCCTCCGTCCTAAAAAGAATGAGACGATTTGACTTTTAGGGAAATTAAGAGAGAGATATTTTGGTATTGACTTTCCAAAAATACCCTTGATGTGATGGGTAAAAGTAGGATGTGATGGATAGATTATTAGGAAAAAGGTATGATGTGATAGATAGGATATGAAAAAGTAAGGGGTAAAAGTGGGTTTTTAATAGAAATGTAACGGACTGTTGGAGTCTATCCCACACCGGAACTTGTAGTGAAAATAAATCGGTATATAAGCTCTTGGGTTTAGCTAACTAATCGATTGGATTCAATCTTTTAATGTGGTTCAGCCCTAGTGTTTTATTGCCGAATCCAGTTATCCATACCCCATCCAAAATTCTATCATGGTATCAGAGCAGGTTTTGGCCCACCTCCTTTGTCAAGGTGTCCGTCTAGACGTTCATTCCTAGCGACCCGTTAGTATTTAGCCCAGTTGTCCGTATGGAGTATGTACCCAACGACCTGTGGCCCGTTTAACACAATTGCTAGTCTGGAAGTCCATACCCAGCAGCTCGTGGTCCTTTAGGTGTTGGCGTTCAAAAAAAAAGTCAAGGGAATGGGAGTTCATTTGCAAGTGATCAACCGGTTAGATTCAAAATGGCCCGGTTGTCCACTTGAGGGGGAGTGTTGGAGTCTATCCCACACCGGAACTTGTAGTGAAAATAAATCGGTATATAAGCTCTTGAGTTAACTAAATAATTGATTTGATTCAATCTTTTAATGTGATTCAACCCAAGTGTCTTATTGCCCAATCCAGTTGTCTCTACCCAATCCTAAATTCTATCACGGACTTTACGGGACGCAGTTTTTTCTAAACGTAACAAACTTTTTGGGACGGAGGGAGTATCATATATCATATATCATATACGGAGTATCATATATCATATACTCCCTCCGTCCCCAATTTGATTACAAATTGCGAGTTACGGAGTAAAATTTCTTACTTTTTGAAATCATTTTATTTACAAATTGGTATATCAATAAGATATAAAAATTACATATCAAAAAACTATGTCAAAAGTTCTACAAAACAAGAGGTGACAAGAATATTTTATTTTATCAAATACTTAATTAAATCGCGTAAACAAACAAAAGTTATCGAGAGGAGAGAAAAAAAATTGTAATCTATTTAGGGACGGAAGGAGTATCATATATATATATATATATATATATATATATATATATATATATATATATATATATATATATATATATATATATATATAGGGGTGGGTTCTAATAAGAATGATCTTCTACGAAAGAAATAAGAATAAATGAGATCCATTGATCTCAAACAATCAATGGATGGAAGCCTTTTACAAAATGGACGGCACCACTAGATTTTATAAGGTAAGGAAATCAAATCATTGATTGTGAATTAAAATCAAAGAGTAATAGGGGCAATGTTGTAAAATCGTATTGCATTTAAAATGATCATGGATGACACGCAACTATGCATTTCCAAAATTAATGCTTTCCATATCATTTGGCTCCCACTTGGATTCTTTTTTGGATCTGATGTCACGTTTTTATCTTTTTTTTAGTTTTTCTCTTTTATTTTTTTTGTCAATTTTCTTCAATAAAAATTAATATTCAATATTTTTTTCTATTGCACTCTTTATTCCTCATATGCATTATTTTAATGCATTTCACACGGTGGAAAAGATTTACTCCCTCCGTCCCTGAGTGTTGTCCACTTTCATTTTTGCACACCATCCAATGAATTCTTTAATCCATTTTATCTTGTAATTTGTATATTAAAAAAATTAAAAAAATTATATATTAATAATCTATATGTTAAGACGAATCAAACAAGATCACACATGACTATTTTAATGCTTACACATTGAGAGAATTTGATGAGTCAAAGTGCTTAGATGAACAGTTCCAAAAGTCAAAAGTGGACAAATACTCAGAGGCGGACCAAGTATTTATTTACTTTGATTTTTTTTCAAATTTATAAATAATACTTTCTTGTCATGTTATTTTTATCATTTTTTGGTTAACTATATTTGGTTATTTTTTTTATATTATCACATTTTTGATAAGTTTCTCACATTTTAAAGTAAAAACTTAAAAATTTATAGACTTTTTAATGTTATTGCACTATGCTAGCTGATATATGCATTGTGTCTTGCTTTTATATTTTATTTAATTTTTGTATTAATTTGTGATTAGTGAATAATGACACCTGAGTAACTCTTTGTGAGGTGAAAAAGCTTAAGGAATAAATATAATACAAATCTGAGAAATAGTTTGCCTATGCGGGATTCGAACCCACAACCGTAGTATGTACTGCTCTACCATTTGAGCTAATAGGTACCAATTTTTTGAAAGAGACTCACAACTTGCACTTAGACTTATTAAATATAGATTTTAAGATGAGAATTTTATAGAAAATTTTAAGTGCATCATCATTTGCGAAAAAATCACTTTGTACAGTATACAAATGCATCAAAAATTCTCCACAAGATGCATCAATTTTGTTTCCATATTATCCTTTAGCTTGATTTTGAAAATGTATTGCCCTCTTTTATAAATGCATTAACTTGATTCAATAATGCATAATGATAGTACAACCGCAGTATGTACTGCTACGGTTATAATACAATCGTAGTACGTACTGTTTTACCATTTGAGCTAATAGGCACCAATTTTTTTAAAGGGACTCACAACTTGCACTTAGACCTATTAAATATAGATTTTAAGAAGAGAATTTAACAGAAAATTTTAAGTGCATCATCATTTGCAAAAAAATCACTATGTTCGGTATACAAATGCATCAGAAATACTCCCCAAGATGCATCAATTTTGATTTTATATTATCCTTTAGCTTGATTTTGAAAATGTATTGCCCTCTTTTATAAATGCATTAACTTGATTCAATAATGCACAATGATAGAAAAAAGCAAAGTAAAAAAAAAAGCAAAAAAAAACAAACAAACAAACAATAATGTACGTCCCTATTGAATACCAAATTGTCCAATCAACATTATCATGGCCAACAATTTCCAAGAATATAACAATATAACCACAATCCACAAATGTTTTACTTTCTTTTTTCTATGCCTTGAAATGTGACTGGAGGTGGGTGTTGTGCTCAACGTAAATGCAGTATACAAAGGGGTGGAGTGCAGTACTAGTGTGCACGACCATGCCGCAAGGTGTAGACTAGTTGACCAAGTGGGTGAATAATTAATAATTTTTAAAATGGAAATATGTTTCTCCATTTTAGTACGGCGCAGTATTAATTTTAATAATCGTTATAGTTTATTTTTGAAATGATTTCAGGGGTGAAATCCACGAAGTTCACCATCGTTAACAATTGTCCGTACACAATTTGGCCTGCTACTCTTACCGGAGGAGGCGGCAGTTCTCAAGCTCCGACTGGGTTCGAACTGGCACACGGTGCAAGTGAGGTGAAAAAGCTTAAGAATGTACTATATTCAGAATAAATATAATACAAATCTGAGAAATAGTTTGCCTATGCGGGATTCAAACCCACAACCGTAGTATGTACTGCTCTACCATTTGAGCTAATAGGCACCAATTTTTTGAAAGAGACTCACAACTTGCACTTAGATTTATTAAATATAGATTTTAAGATGAGAATTTTATAGAAAATTTTAAGTGCATCATCATTTGCGAAAAAATCACTTTGTACAGTATACAAATGCATCAAAAATTCTCCACAAGATGCATCAATTTTGTTTCCATATTATCCTTTAGCTTGATTTTGAAAATGTATTGCCCTCTTTTATAAATGCATTAACTTGATTCAATAATGCACAATGATAGTACAACCGCAGTATGTACTGCTACGGTTATAATACAATCGTAGTACGTACTGTTTTACCATTTGAGCTAATAGGCACCAATTTTTTTAAAGGGACTCACAACTTGCACTTAGACCTATTAAATATAGATTTTAAGAAGAGAATTTAACAGAAAATTTTAAGTGCATCATCATTTGCGAAAAAATCACTATGTTCGGTATACAAATGCATCAGAAATACTCCCCAAGATGCATCAATTTTGATTTTATATTATCCTTTAGCTTGATTTTGAAAATGTATTGCCCTCTTTTATAAATGCATTAACTTGATTCAATAATGCACAATGATAGAAAAAAGCAAAGTAAAAAAAAAGCAAAAAAAAAACAAACAAACAATAATGTACGTCCCTATTGAATACCAAATTGTCCGATCAACATTATCATGACCAACAATTTCCAAGAATATAACAATATAACCACAATCCACAAATGTTTTACTTTCTTTTTTCTATGCCTTGAAATGTGACTGGAGGTGGGTGTTGTGCTCAACGTAAATGCAGTATACAAAGGGGTGGAGTGCAGTACTAGTGTTCTACAATGCTATGTCTAATAGAAGAAAATCTTAAAATTTCACAGCACACCAATGTAGACTAACCATAAAAGAAGACATAAAAAGGGGTTTTGAAAAAGGTGCATCATTGTTCTTCTAAACCAATCTAGACCAGCCCAAAGGGAGACTCAACAAAGGTGTTAAACTTTGAAATTCATTTGAAAACACAAAGAAGGAAGCATCCAATTTTTCAATTATATTGGATCTCTAACTCTAACAAATCTATTACTCAATGTGCAACCAAGGATAATAATAGTGCATATATGTCCCATTTTGCTCCCTGCACCAACTAAATGGAGTTTT